AGACGTGCTCAAATTTGTTGGTACCCTTACAGCTCATTGAAATTAAAAGCTATTTTATCATGTATACTTGCATGCCTTTGGTATGTCATAGAATAAAGCAAAGAAGCTGTGAAAAGAAATGAATTATTGCTTATTCTACAAAGATATTCTAAAATGGCCTGGACACATTTGTTGGTACCCCTTAGAAAAGATAATAAATAATTGGATTATAGTGATATTTCAAACTAATTAGTTTCTTTAATTAGTATCACACATGTCTCCAATCTTGTAATCAGTCATTCAGCCTATTTAAATGGAGAAAAGTAGTCACTGTGCTGTTTGGTATCATTGTGTGCACCACACTGAACATGGACAAAGGAGAGAGTTGTCTGAGGAGATCAGAAAGAAAATAATAGACAAGCATGGTAAAGGTAAAGGCTACAAGACCATCTCCAAGCAGCTTGATGTTCCTCTGACAACAGTTGCAAATATTATTAAGAAGTTTAAGGTCCATGGAACTGTAGCCAACCTCCCTGGGCGCGACGGCAAGAGGAAAATCGACCCCAGATTGAACAGAAGGATAGTGCGAATGGTAGAAAAAGAACCAAGGATAACTGCCAAAGAGATACAAGCTGAACTCCAAGGTGAAGGTACGTCAGTTTCTGATCGCACCATCCGTCGCTTTTTGAGCGAAAGTGGGCTCCATGGAAGAAGGAGGACTCCACTTCTGAAAGAAAAACAGAAAAAAGCCAGACTGGAATTTGCTAAAATGCATATTGGCAAGCCACAATCCTTCTGGGAGAATGTCCTTTGGACAGATGAGTCAAAACTGGAGCTTTTTGGCAAGTCACATCAGCTCTATGTTCACAGACGAAAAAATGAAGCTTTCAAAGAAAAGAACACCATACCTACAGTGAAACATGGAGGAGGCTCGGTTATGTTTTGGGGCTGCTTTGCTGCGCCTGGCACAGGGTGCCTTGAATCTGTGCAGGGCACAATGAAATCTCAAGACTATCAAGACATTCTGGAGCGAAACGTACTGCCCAGTGTCAGAAAGCTCTGTCTCAGTCGCAGGTCATGGGTCCTCCAACAGGATAATGACCCAAAACACACAGCTAAAAGCACCCAAGAATGGATAAGAACAAAACGTTGGACTATTCTGAAGTGGCCTTCTATGAGTCCTGATCTGAATCCTATCGAACATCTATGGAAAGAGCTGAAACTTGCAGTCTGGAGAAGGCACCCATCAAACCTGAGACAGCTGGAGCAGATTGCTCAGGAAGAGTGGGCCAAACTACCTGTTAACAGGTGCAGAGGTGTCATTGAGAGCTACAGAAAACGTTTGATTGCAGTGATTGCCTCTAAAGGTTGTGCAACAAAATATTAGGTTAGCGGTCCCATCATTTTTGTCCATGCCATTTTCATTTGTTTTATTATTTACAATATTATGTTGAATAAACAATCAAAAGAAAAGTCTGATTTCTATTAAATGTGGAATAAACAATGGTGGATGCCAATTACTTTTGTCAGTTTCAAGTTATTTCAGAGAAAATTGTGCATTCTTCGTTTTTTGTGGAGGGGTACCAACAAATTTGAGCACGTCTGTATATGCTTCCTTTAGGCAATTTTATCAGGAAATATTCCATAAGCTTTCATTGTTATGCAGATGATACTCAGTTATATCTATCGATCAAACCAGATGAAACTTAGCTAAACTTCAAATGTGCCTTCAGGATGTTAAAACCTGGATGACCTGTAATTTTCTAATGTTAAAATTGAATTGATTGTTCTGGGGCCTAAGCACCTCCGTGACGCATTATCTAAAGATATAGTTTCCCTGGATGGCATCGTCCTGGCCTCCAGCACCACTGTGAGGAATCTTGGAGTTATCTTTGATCAGGACATGTCATTTAAGTCTCACATTAAGCAAATTTCAAGGACCGCCTTTTTTCACCTACTTAATATTGCGAAAATCAGGAACATCCTGTCTAAAAATGATGCAGAAAAACTAGTCCATGCATTTGTTACTTCTAGGCTGGATTACTGCAATTCCCAATTATCAGGCTGCTCGAAAAAGTCCGTTAAGACTCTTCAGCTGATGAATGCTGCAGCACGTGTTCTGACAGGAACCAGGAAAAGAGATCACATTTCTCCTGTTTTAGCTTCTCTGCATTGGCTTCCAGTAAAATCCAGAATAGAATTTAAAATCATTCTTCTTACCTACAAAGCTCTTAATGGTCAGGCACCATCTTATCTTAAAGAGCTCATAGTACCTTACTACCCCACCAGAGCACTGCGCTCCCAGAATGCAGGGTTACTTGTGGTTCCTAGAGTCTCCAAAAGTAGACTAGGAGCCAGAGCGTTCAGCTATCAAGCTCCTCTCCTGTGGAACCAGGTTCCAGTTTGGGTTCAGGAGGCAGACACCATCTCCACATTTAAGAGTAGGCTTAAGACTTTCCTCTTTGATAAAGCTTATAGTTAGGGCTGGCTCAGGTAGTCCTGAACCATCCCTTAGTTATGCTGCTTTAGGCCTAGACTGCTGGGGGATTTCCTATGATGCACTGAGCTCCTCTCTCCTCTACTCTCTCTCCCTCTGTATGCAACCTCATCCCATTATTGCATGTTACTAACACAACTTCTCCCCTTTCTGGTAGTCTTGTGCTTTCTCGTCCCTCTCCTCTCTCCTATCACTTCCTGCAGGTTTTCTGGCTCTGGAGCTGTGGAGTCTGGATCTGTGGCTGCGGGTCACCTGCTGCCCCTGTGTTCCTGTTCGACACCCTCTGCTGCAACGACTATTGTTACTAGTCCTATTGTTATTATTGTTATTATAATAATTAACATTACGACTGTTACCATTAACACTACTATGAATATCTATATTTTATTTAGTCTATAGCAACATCACCTTTGCTGTCTGTACCTCTGTGTGTATATTGTGTAGGCTGCCTCCCTCTCTCTCTCCTTCCATCCCTCTCTTTTTCTCTCTGTTCCTCTCCTGCCCTCTCTCTCTTTCTCTCTCGCTCTCTCTCTCCTTCACCCCAACCGGTCGAGGCAGATGGCCGCCCACCCTGAGCCATGGTTCTGCTCGAGGTTTCTGCCTCTTAAAAGGAAGTTTTTCCTTGCCTCTGTCGCCTAGTGCTTGCTCTTGGTGGGAACTGTTGGGCTTCTGTAAATAGCATCAACGGTCTAGACCTGCTCTTTTATGAAAAGCGCTGTGAGATAACTGTTGTTGTGATTTGGCGTTATATAAATAAAATTGAATTGAATTAAAATTGACTCCGAAACCATCACTCCAACCAAGGTGGTGTGTCATGATTGATGACCTTTTCAGACCATGTTGCTGCTGTCTCTCGGTCATGCCGCTTTGCTCTATACAACATAAGGAAAATCAGGCCCTACCTCACCCAGCTTCTGGTACAGGCCATGGTTATCTCTCGCATGGACTATTGCAATGCCCTCCTAGCAGGTGTGCGGTGAAACCCTACAAATGGTTCAGAACGCAGCAGCGCGTCTGGTTTTTGATCAGCCCAAAAGGACTCATGTCTTTCCGTTAATCAGTGACCTCCACTGGTTCCCCGTGGCCTCCAGAATCAGATTCAAGTCACTAATGCTTGCATACAGAGTGACTACTGGGTCTGCAACCATCTACCTGCAGGGTGAACTTCCTGGTGGAGTGGAGCGGAGGCCATCAGGCAGATAGGAGGCAGCTGGCCAGTGTCCAGATTGCATAAAGCCCGCCATTTCCTGATTGTTGCGGGCTTTGACTGCTTGCTTTTTCCTGGTCCCCAGCACCACAGCGTGTTGCTTTGTTGTGCTTTTGTTCATTTAGTTAATCTGGCGTTATGTTTTGCCAACCACATTTGTTAAGCTTTAAAAGGATTTGTTATATTTGTTACATTTAACTACTTTTGTTAATAAACGTCAATGATTATTTGAATCTCCCGACACTCTGACAGGATCGGACAGGATAAACTGACAGCAGCCTCTCTGATCATGAAAGTAATTCGTGAAAGCACATAGCCTATAGAAATCTATTTACCCATGATACATCAGGGGAGCTACCGTCTTGTTAAGAGGAGCCAAGCTCCAGCGTAGTTTGCACCCTTCCTACATGAATCTCTACTTTCGGGTTCCCGTAGCAAGAAATAAAGTTACTCTTTTACTCATGGATTTTTTTTTTTATGCTGCCAAAATGTTACTTGATGGTGTTGAATTACAAATTTTTAAAAACACTTAATTTTGGGTTAAAATGTGTATGGTATGTGCACACAGCTACAATGTTAACTTCATACTCATATGATACACCGTTTGAAAGCTAAAATCCTCGTGATTCGAGCAATGCAAACCATTTCAAGATACACCACATACCATATCACCACAGCGGGTACAATCAGCCCCTCTGTCAGACCACCCAGTACAATCAAAAGTGACGTGACTCACCTATGAAGCCTCATAGTAATCCACCGATCAATTATATTCCAACAAAAACAGTCTTGTTACATTGTCAGAGGTCCAGATGATCCAATCCAGTAAAAATATTTAGTCCAAAACACATTATTCCATCAATAAGTCCCCAGGGACTGCTGCAACATTGTTTCATAATTGCCGGCAGACGTGGTTCGTATGTCATGTATGATTTGAATGTAAACAACTACGAGAGCTTGTATTCAAATTAGCCGCTGAACTCTAACCTTTCGACTGACACCAAATCCGACCCAATAGGAGCTCACATGTCCGTTTCACAGCCTTCAATAGCCAACGAGATCCCGCGCTGTAAGGAAGGGCCAGCCCCTATTATTTCATGGGTAGACCGAGCCAATTGCAAGCAATTGTGCCGTGACTGGCACTTTGTGTAGCCAATAATAATAAAAAAAACACATCTGTGTCGAGCTACCGGCTGATACGGAGCAATGCAACAGCAGCCACCTGCTGCCAAGGGGAGGTGCTGTTTTGAAAAAAATCCGCTAAGACATAAATTGTGTCAATTTATGGTTACTTTGCTTTAGTTGTACTGAGCAATCCAAGCCTAGGTTCACCCAGGGCTCTCAGGGCACTCCCAAACTGCAGGGGGCAATCATGCAACAAAAGTTGGTGGAACCAACTTTTGGGGAAGTAGCTTTTGGGACTATATTTGCCTGCGCACCCACAGAGAGAGCATGGCATTGAAATGTTTGTAGAGAGTTCGGTTGGTTCTCTCATTTATTCCTGGAAAAGGATACTATGATTACAGCTCCTGATCACTCAAAGACGCAACTGGTAGGACAATTTATGATTGACTGTGTTTGAATATATTGAGTTTTAAATGTTCAGGTTCTGCTTGGATTGTAATTTGCAATTTAAAATAAATAATGGGGATTTGTTATGTGAATGTTGAACTTGACAGAAGTAACATGTGCATGAGTTTAATTACGGGATTGGTATTTTCTTGTTAAAATCCTAGGTTAGACTTAAGGATCGTGTTTAGTTTGTTTTGAAGATTCAATAGCATTTATTTATTATTTCTGCGAGAAAGTGGTATTGTGATTTATGTGTGACTGATTCATGGTTTGGTTTGTGTATTTGAAAGGTTATCAACCTATACCTACTGCCCCACACTGATCTATCAAGTCACATTCAAGAAACTATACCATATTATTCCATCACTGGTCTATCAAACCATCTCAAAGAAAATAAAGAATCAAGAAGTGAAAAGATTGAGTTGTCCTTTGCGTTCTTCAGAGAGAAAAGCAGTTTTCAAGTTTGGGCTGAGCTGTAATCAATTAAAAACACACAGAACTTGACACATACACTTAAACCTGTGTAAAATAGTCATTCTTCATGGTATTGGTATGAAATTTAAACTAGGACTAGGTAAGGCTTTATCCTGTGGTCCTACAATGTTTTCCAGCCAATAAGTCCCAGCTATAGTTGTCTGCATGCATTTGTTAGCAAGCATTTTCAAGCGGAAAAATTAAAAATATATTTTAGTTTATGGTGTTTAGACGTATATTAATCAATTCCAGTAGCACTTACAGTCATTCTGATCATTCTCAATCATTCTTTTGGGTTTGACACTCCAGTGTTATCTTTCAGAGAAGCCCAAAACCATGAATCTACTCCAAATGGTTCAAGAACTACATTCAATTTACTTTGGATCTGCCTTGAATAGACGTTTTTCATTAATTTTACAGGAATGTTAAGAGGATTTATTAGTAATGCACTATGTAACTGTGTTACAGTAAAAAGCAATACATTACTGTAATTGCGTTACTTTTGTACCACATTATTCCCAACACTACATGCCCACATTTCTACTCTGCAGCACCCCTACGCCAAAATGTCTTCCCCCGCACCTGTGTGCGTGTGGGTATTAAACCGTGTGTGTGCAGTAGATGGTCTGTTTTGGGGACATGGTGTTGTTTTTAAGTAGGCCACTTTTCTTTCTTATTTACTATGTCTTGCTTCTCTGTTGAAGAGGAATGTGGTTGCCGTGATTCAAGTTATTGTACTGTATTGAGTCTGCGTCACTTTAGTACAGTGGACACCTCCCCTGCACTCAGCTGTTTGTCGTGACGTTTCAGGATTTTGACAATGACAGCACTGGCCACGCTCCTTATAGCTTTCTCTTTGACTTCTGTACTGTGCAAATACAAAAGTCTAGGTAACACGGAGCAATTCCTGGACGTCATTTTGTGAACAGAGTTATGAAACAGAAAACCACAAACTCCTCTTTGCCTTTTCAAGTTCCTCAGGGGGACTGTAGGAGGTAAACAAACTCTGCCTTTCTGCAACTGCACCAACAGCCACTGGGGGTATTTTCTTTCAGGGCTTAACTTTCTTTGTTCGTGAATACCAACCAATACCAGCACAATTTTGGATCCCTAAGGAAACTGTTACGCACAAGATAACGTTTCATGCCTGCAGAAGAAGACGGATAAACTCCATGCTTAACTGAGAGAAGATCACCTGTGTGTTCCACCTTTTCAATTTTACGGCGACTTCACTGATTCCTGTCGCTGCCGCCGAAGAATCAGCCGTACCGTTGAAACTACTGGCTTCATCAGAACCAAGCTGAGAGAAACTCCGCTGGATTTCCTAAAAGGTCTGACACTACCAAAGCGACACGTAAGAGGCTTTCATATGTCTGGGCAGCAGATAGTTATATATAACTTTGCTATTGTAACTTACTTGTACTAGCTTCATGTGAATTTCTGTTAACCACATTGTACCTGGCACCAATTTCTAGGAAAAAATAACATACCCAAAATAAATCAGAAAACTCCTCAAACACTAGGCCTAGATGCATCTGGTGTCCTTTGAAAGGTCAGAAGCTAAGGAATATAAATCCATTGTACATTAACATATTTATTTTACCATTACAGACTACATGGAGATGCAATACAGAAAAAATATTTTCATCCTCGCCTGGTAAAAAGCGCTATAGTTTAATGCAATAAACCATCAAAAACATCATAAAATAGATTATAATGCACCTGAATACCTTCTAATACACCTGGGGCTGTATTACAGAAACCTCCTAACCAGCACATCCTATCCTAACTGAGATATTATCTGTTACATCGCCTACAGCCTTTCTACTAACGAGTGTTTTGTCATCAAGTAGAATCAATTAAGTTCTGTCTGTTGACATTTTGTTGTATTTGTAAAAGCAATTAAAGAGCAACCATGTGGATTAAACGAGTTAACAAACACTACGTGGTGGAAAAGTAAAAGTTAGGACAGCTCAACAGTTATCCTAAAGTTAGGACAGTTTATTTAAGATTTTATGAAGTTAGGATGTTTCTGTAATACACTTACGTTAGTCCGCAGCCTTTATTAATATTTTTTTACCTTCATTATTAACTTTTCCGCAAAGAGTAACCTATGGGTTTCTGCCAGGGTCAATGGGGGAGCACAGGAGGAGCCACCACCGGGTTTCCTCTGCTGTTTGGACACATCAGTTGCCTTTCATATCACTTGTAAACGGACTGATTTTCTTTTTAACAGCATCAGCGCTTTGCTGGATGCCGGATACGTGGCGGTGACTGTGCTATTTTAGTCCACTCTCTCTTAAGCGTTACGTGAATTTGGATTTCTCAACGGAGGTTACCAACACCTCTAAGTCATCTGACTTGAAGTTCAATGATAGTTGTGTGTATGTTGCATTAAAAAAACTATAGCAAACAGCAATAGCATAAAGTTTAGCTTGGAGAGATGAGAAAAGTGGCATTGGTTGCTAGGTAACAGACATAAAAGTTGATAACCGATGTTGGATTGAGTATTTAGGATTTCCTAACCTGAGATAAGATAGGATGAAGTAAAATAAGATAAAGTTAGTTAGGATTTGCTTCTGTAATATCAAATTGTGAACAATCCTATCTTAGACCCTTCCTATCTTAACTTATGACTTAAGATAGGAATTTTCTGTAATACAGCACCTGGAATACAACTGTAACTGTAAATGTGATGGAAATGGAAAAAAAGTTATTACACTATCTTTCAAAAATATACCAGGCGAATGTCCATGTTTTGGCATAATTACTGTTTATATGTTCACTTTTGTTGGGGGTTTTCTTCAAAACATTATTTCTCTCCATACAACCACTTCCTACTAACATAAAACTTCCAAAACATTGAAATATTGATAAAAAAAAAGTCTATATATGACCAAAATCACTCCCATGCTTTATAGGCCACAGCTTGAGAACAGAACATCCTACTGGGCTGTAAGTGGGCTCTATCTCTTTGTATTGAAGAGACGAATCGATTGATATCCTGCATGTCTGTAGCTCAATCAGGTTGCCAGCAGAGGCCGATAAAGACCGCCTCCGCCAAAGCAAACTCTTCTTCTCTACTTCAATCTGACATTAGAAGTGAAACTTATTGGCTCACCAAGATGGCGGCCCGCCAGACGGTCTCTGTTGACAGATTCAGTGTGTGAAAACGTATCAGTATTTTTATTTTTGCCAGTTCACTACCGTTCCTCTCATTGATAAAGTTGTAGCTGAGTGTTTGCAACAGTAATTAGGATTTTTGGTGTTTGCTTCTTTTGACTGAGAACAGATCCAACTGTACATTCTATCTAATCCAAAGCCAGCAACCGCTGCTGAATGGACGTTCACTGCTGGAGCCTGTAGGATAGATTGTGGTATATTGTATATAGCTTTTCTCTGTGTCTTTCTCTCTTACTTCTGCTTACTAAACCCACATGCGCACACCACGTGATCTCTGAAGCTAACCAGACCTGTGACCCACAGCAGGCTAGCATCACAGTGCGTCTCCATTTATTTTTGTAGTTCAGGGGAGAGTGATTTTCTGCCATCTTGATCTTGAAATCATATGGTTTGAACCGCCATCTTGATTCCAAAATTAGCTAGCATCGGGCACATTCCGAACTGGATCTGCAACACACACACACACACACACACACACACACACACACACACACACGCTCTCTGGTTTGTTGTATGCTTTTGTATGATTCGATTTGGCTTTATTTCATTTTGCTTAGAATAGTTGATAGTGATTTACTTGCTAAAGTTGTTAATCATTGATCTATGCTTGGATTGAATAAATCCTGTTATAATTTTAAGAAGCCGTTGCCTGTGAATATTTGTGTATAAGATTAAGAGTTGGTTGCCACAGCCAGTGTATGGACTCACCCTTCTCTTTTTGCCATCTATAGGTGGACAAACCCTGTTTTAGACTGATCATATTTGGTTATTGGTTGTTACTGGTTGTTACTTCCTTACGCTACTGAATGTAACTGAACTGTATTTGTACAAAAAGCACAACAGAAATTCACACCTCACAAATTATTATTGAAAGAATATTTTATATGTCTGAAAAAAATTCTGGATTGGATCTTTAAGCCACAATAGTGGCAATACATACAACAAAGAGATCCTCACAACAGCAGACGTATTAAGTAGTAGTACTAATAAGTAAATACAAAGCAGAATAATGAGGTCAAACTTTTAACAACTTAAAACAAAGATTTTAAGTATTATAGCCATAAATACTGTCTTCTGCATCATCTTATGCTTTTAGTTTTTATATTTGATATACATATATTAATTCATGACAAAACAAACTTCAAATTTTTTGTACAAATATGATTGTGAGAAGGATATCAATTACAGTCAAGCATAAACACATATAATTGTTCGTATGGTATTAGTTTAAGCAGACTATGTTTGTCTGTCCCCGCGACCCTGTACGCAGGATAAGCGGTTGACGATGGATGGATGGATGGATGTTTGTCTGTTGTTGTGACTTAGATGAAGATCAGATCACAATTTATGCAGATATCCCTGTAATTTCAAAGAGACCACATACTTTTTCCTGCGACATTATATAAATATAAAGAATAACTGACTTGTTTCTGTTTTAGCAGCAGATCCAAACACATTAAGTAATGAAAAACAAATAGAAGAAACATGAGCAAAAAAATAATACAGTTGTAAGAAGGGTATCAATTAAAGCCGCCCTCTAGCCAGTTTTAACTGCCAATATTGTTTAAAGTTCTTTCTCAAACAGATAATGGGGGTGTGGTTAATAATCGGATGTAATACATTACCATGACAACCAAAAACTTTGTCATGTGTCCTCCAACACCGCATGACTTATGACATACGTCACAACCCCGTTTTAACAACTTTTGCAACTCAAAATTAAGCTATTTGTCAAAAAATATTTGGTGAACTATGTGGGTAATCAACATTGTAAGGAAATGACTATGAAATATCATATAAATGTCAAAATACACTGGAGGTGGGCTTTAAAATCAAGCTGTTGAAAGTACATTTATGAACTAGTCACTCAAGGCAAAGACTCAGACATGTCATGAATATAACAAATGCAAATACTTACTAGGGCCTTTTGTTGTGGAACGCAGAGTCAGAGATGTTTTGTGAAGATGGTGTTTGTTTACATGGAAAGAAGAATATGTTGAATTGATCATTTGTTCTTGAAAATCAGACAGACAAACTTCAGTTGCATCATATATCTTAACAGAAAATAAAATTAAACAGATTTTTGATTTATACAAAAAGAAAATAAGATCAAAGCTGCAGGCAGCATTGGACGGGTGTAGGGGACGTAGGATGGGAGCTGCGGCACTGTTTCATTGCGTGTTTTGAACTGGTCACAAAGGAGTTAAACATCACTTACTGTGTGCTGTAGGTGGCGCTACAGACTGCCCACTAATTATATGTTGTGTATCAACACATGAAGTGTGGACCACACTCCGAAAATGCCTGTAGATCACGTGATTTTTGTCACAAAGGGCTTACCTCTGGTTGCCAGTGGTGCTATGACGCTGAGTGAATATTTGTTTTTATATTATTTATTTATAGATGTGTTTAGGGCACTAGTCTTATCAAACATGTAAAGTTTGGTACAGAACTGAGCATGTAAACTGAAGTTATAAAAAAGTTCTCGCGTTATAGCGAATCTTCAAAATTCGACGCCACACCACAGACACCATTCAGTGAAAACTCACAGGCCTGTTTATGCGCACATACATGTACACACACACATACAGACACATTCACCCACATGCACACAGACACACACAGTCTCACACATAGACACAAACAAATTTAGGTTGTCCCTGGTAGAATTATTCCTGATGCTTTTCTTTCAGTTACTTATTTAAATTAATTATTATTCCAGCTCTCGTGGCTGTGCTGTGTTTCTTATTTAGTTGTCATACTATGTCAGCTGTTTATTGCTGCTGTTCGGCTGGTTGTCTTTTACTATTAATATTATTTTTATTGTTTGTTTTTGTTTGTTTGTTGTTGTTTTTCTCCTCCCCAAGCCCCCCTCTCTGTTCTATTGCAGGTTTCGTTGCTTTCTGCAATTGGTGTTTCCCACAGCTTTTCCCTGTTGTCCCCACCTTCCATCCCTCTTTTCCCCTTCTCTTACAGGTCTTGTCCTTTCTCTGTGCTGTCTGTTTGTGCCCCACCATCCCCGTGTCTGCCCCCCTGTCCGGCCCGGTGACAAATCAATATATAATTAAATAAATAATAAAACAGACAAAGGAGTATATTAATACTCTCTTGTTAAAGTAAAATCTGTCTGGCACAATATGGTATCCAGGTCATCATTCTCTATACCAGGCTGCTGGGCAGGACAGGTTTAAAAAACAACAAAAACAAAAAAACAACAAAAAAACCCTAAAGGATATGAATATTTCTCCAACTTCTTTGACCACATTCCTATCTTTTTGGATATGTTGTGAAGAATGTTGGACATTTTCTTGATTTTTCAATTCAACAAAGAAAAAACAATCATATATTATGAGGGAGAAAGAAAATAAAAAAGAAATGCTATAAAAAAAAAAAAGAGTGATAGAAACAGGTGCATGATCACTGATAGTGATAGGGTGAATCTGAGTGTAGTAAATGTCTTTCATAATTGAGCTGCTAACCAAAAAATAGTCAAGGCGAGTATATGAGTGGTGGACTGGTGAAAAGAAGGTATATTCTCTAAGAGTGGGGTGGTGAGAACGGCAAACATTGCAAAGACCAAAATCGCTCATGTATTGTTTAAGGATGTCTGTTGATTTCCAAATATGGTGACCACCTGCCGTACTGTGCCTGTAAACTGCTGGATTACATACCACGTTGAAGTCCCCTCCTAATATAAGAGCTGTGTCTGAGTGAGCAGAGAGTGAGTTGAAGAAAGCATGAAAAAAGGAGGGGTCGTCAACATTTGGGCCATAGATGTTAGCAATGCATAAAGGAGTATTTTTGAATCGAAATGTTAACAATAATGAATCGACCCTCTGGATCAATAGTAGTGGTATTATGATTGAAGTGTGTTTTTCTATTTATCATAATAGTGACACCCCTTTGTTTGGAGTTATAACAGGCTGAGTATGAGTGAGGAAACTGTGGTGAGGTTAGTTTATCTGCTGTCTTGGGTAAATGAGTCTCCTGTAATAGGACAATGTCTGCTTGTAGATTATTTAGATGGTTAAATTTTTTATCTCTTTTCCCTTGAACCAACTCCGCGTACATTCCAAGAGGAGAGTTTAAGTGAGGTCATCATTCAACTAAGGGATGTGGCGAAGGCTAGTGTGTGCAGTGTGCGTGTTGAATCATTGTATGTGTTCGTGTATGTGTTCATGTTGTATGCGCCTACATGTGTGTGCTAGCGGTGTGCCCGACTGTTTGTGAATTAAACAGTATGAAAATTGCGCAGCTGATCGACGTGTAAACGGCGGAGGAAGAGCAACATTAACAAAAGAAAGAGACAGTGAAACAAAAACAAAGGAAAATACACAAAACATTATCGGACAGTGTAGTCAGAAAACCACAGTATAGGCTGTTGAGACGTTCACTGTATTTTATAACTATTAACCTGCCGTATGTCACGGAGTAATTAATTGAGAGGGGGGGAAATTATTGCATAGTGATACAGTTCACCTGTTGCTGGACTTGGTTCTTAGTAGAGCCAAGGAGTGGTGTCTCGGTCGCGGTACAGCTGGCCATCAACGTAAAGTTTATCCACTGCGATGACAGCCCGTGATCCTTCTCCAATAAGCTTCTTTCTTATCGGGAACAGGACTCGGCGTCGGTCCAGGATCTCCTGGGGAAACTGGTCATTAACGCTGAAGTTGGTCCCTCTCAGCTCCCTGCCGCGGCCTTTCACCAGTTCCTTCTGCTTGAAGTGTTCAAAATTCGCGACGATGGGCCTGGACCCCTGGTTCTCCTGTCACCGTCCTCCCAGGCGGTGCACCCGGTGGAAGCTGATGTTCTTCACGGTCTCGGCCGGGAGCTTCAGTTGATTTTGGATGAAGCTTTTAACGGTCTCCTCTGGGGCTTCATCCGCCTGCTCAGGGATACCCGAAATGACCAGATTATCCCGCATACTACGAGCCTGGAGATCGATGATCTCTTCTCTAATGTTTTTATTGTCTGCCGAGAGCCGCGTCATTCCCTCCGTGAGGGATTTAACCGAACCTTTGAGGACACCGCGAGCTCAACCACCTGTTTCTGTACTTCCACCAGAAATAATCGGGCATCAAAGCTAGACAATTGCTTGTCTATTGAATCCAGGATCTCTGTGAAATCTACACCTTGTGAGGAGACTGCTCCAGGTGATGCTCCAGGTGAGTCTTCAGTGCGGTTTCTCTTTGATTTCCCCATGACCACTCGATGAAAACACTGGTCAATATAAGCTTCAAGGTCCTCCAAACACTCGTCCTCGAGGTCCTCCAGTGCAATTTGACTGCTATTATTTGTTAATTCGCTTAAAATTGGCGGATAGTTTGTTTAATGAAATGTTTGTTTAGCTGCGCGCTGCCATGTTTGAATTGCACCAAGTCTCACGAGATTACACAAACGCTCACCGTGTCATCTCGGTGATCCGAAGATGACACAGTATCGATAATTGATTATTTTTGGCGTACTGATGGTGTCCGTTCATGAATGTGAACTCATACTAGGGCTGGCCAATAAAACAATAATTATAATTATCACAATATAATTTTCCTCAATAACAATATAACAAATCTTCAATAAATATTTGATTTAATTAATTTAGATCACATATCAATATCTTATTTTGTTGGTCAAAAGATTTTACTTCATTTTACTCATGTATATTTGTTGTTTTGAATGTTCTACCTCAGATTTGTGAAGTGATCCACTGTTTGATACCGGGATGCTGTTTGGTATCAAGTGTTTCTTCTGACCATAAAGAAAAGCACAATAAGCCATCTGGTTTCTTCAACTTTCATTAAGAAGCAAAATCAGCCTTTAAACTTATAATAAAATAATGATTAACTAATGATTTGACATTTTTGGTGATAATAATCAATATCAAATGATATGGAATGTTTTTATCGTTAAACATTTTTAGCCATTTTGTCCAGCCCTAACTCATGCACTTTTGTGTTAAACTCAATACAAACTACTAAAATAAAAGAGTACACATTATAAAGAAAGATATCAAGAAAATTATGCCAGACCGAACTTAAGTTTTGCTTTCACTTTCTGGCCAAGCTGATACAGTACCACTAAAGAGAGAGGAAAACATGGATAATCCATGGAGACAAACAAATCATGGTGAAAAGACAAACTTTAGAAAGGTATTTTAACCTGTAGTTACAGGTATTTTTTTAGTCATGCACAAATAAGAGGAGGATGTGATGTAGACACAAGACTGGATCTTCCTCTAACCACTTTAAACTTGAACTTGTGTCTTCCAGCCACAACAGACAAAAATTTTATATGACACGCAGCCAGATGTCAATGTCTGCAGCGCAAACGTACCATAAATGTTATAATAATGGCAGGGTCTCACATTACCAAATACTAAAACAAATACACGCTAATTACATGTTTTACAGTAGGCATTAAAATTTTCCCACCAGCCTTAAATGCACAGTTTACAGACAGTTTAAGACCTTCATTTCCCTGATTTTATTTTTAGACCTTTTAAGGAGGCATGAGAACCCTGTAATTTATGTTCTAGCCTACAATGACCCCCCCCCCCCGGCAGTGAAATCAAACTCTTTTATAGGATAAACATATCAGAAATTCACACATCTCACAAATTATTATTGAGAGAATATTTTATATGCCTTAAAACGTTTCTGCAATGGTAGCAATACATACAACAAAGACATCCTCATAGCAGTAGAAGTATTAAGTAGAGATATTAGTATATGTAAATACAATGCAATATAATCAAAATGTGAAGTCTAAATAACTTGAAAAATGTTTTTGTATTGCATATCCATTCTCTTTCATTTCGTCTCATCTTTTCTGATCACACGTCTCAACACTTTGAAGGAAAACTGTGGTGACAGGCCGTATCTTCTAAAGAGCTAGATTTAAAATAAAACCACACACACACATAAAAAAGAAATGTTAATACTTAACAAAATAATTTGCAGATAAATTGAATTAAAAGTAAATACAAAGTAGTCATGGTAACAGCATGTAGTGGACTCACGTTCTCCAACACACTCTGCAAGTCCGAGTCTGACAGCTTAGGAGTCAATGATTCTAATTCCACGTTTGTGCCAAGAACATAATCTGTTGATGTAAACACACAATATGCATAAGCATTTCATAATCTTGTAGAGTGGTACACAGAGAACAACCTACTGCCCAAAGTCAGCAAAACTAAGGAGCTGATCATTGACTTTAAGAAGAAGGAGATAAAGAGACACACTCCTGTCTACATCAGTGGAGCTGAGGTGGAGCAGTTTCACCTTCCTGGGAATCAGCATCACAGAGAATCTGACATAGTCATCTCACATCTCCACGCTGGTGAAGAAAGCTCAGAAACAACTGTATTTGTTGAGGAAGCTTAAGAAGGCCAAATTCCCGTGCCAAGTTCTTTTCAGCTTATACAGAAGAGCAACAGATAGCATCCTAACTGGAAACATCACAAACTGGCATGGGATGTGCACGGCCCAGGACCGGAGGGCTCTGCAGCGGGTGAAAACTTATTTTATCCATTTATTTACCATTTTATAAGTGATTCTATATTAATGGGTTAGGGTTATGGGGTTAGGGTTTTATTGTGACAAATGCATACCTAACTATAAAATAATAAAATAAATAAAACAGGATAATGGATTGCATTAATATAGCTAAGTATTCAACATAATATGAAGAATCACATGACTTTCTTGTACCTGCTTCTTCTAACCTTTGTGCCTGTGACTGACTCTGTTTCCTTGTGCTCTGCTCTAGTGTTCCTGGAGACCCTGCTCTGCTCTTGTGCCACTACATTACAGAGAACGCCTAGTTGGAGATTCACCACTGGGGACTCGCTTCTTATTCAGCCAGCCTTTTCCCTGGCTTGCCTGCCCGTGCGCTTACCTGCCACCCCCTCACCACACCGGAGGCACCTTTCCCCCAGCATCTAGCCCATCTAACCAAATCTTATGTTCAATAAATTCTGTGAAAATCTTCCAAAATCTCGCCAAGAAAGGGAGCAGGACAGCAAGTTTAACAGTTAAAACATAAAACAGTATAAAATACAATCAGAACATTTACCCTTTTAGCTACAAAAGCAACAGACGCAACCCACTATCTAACCCATACATTAAAAATTAAATCAGTAATTAAAATACATCAATGTAATGCCTGCTTATTCAAAAACAGTTATATTCGTCTTTAATGGTTAATGGTGCATAGCACGAGAAGGCAGTCTTTCCCAGCACTGAAGTCACACTGGGAACAGCCTGCTGGATGATGACTACTGACCACAAAGCTGAAGATGCTATTAATGCAATGCGGTAATTTGCAGACGAGTGCCTTATAAATAAAAATACATAAATGGAGCTGTCTCTGCATAGCTAATGATGGCCATCCCACCGTAACATATAATCTACAGGGATGTGTGCGTGATTTAGCCAGTGTAATAAAATTCAACAATGCATGGTAATCAAGAATCAAGTTTCTTTAACAACAGTGAGGCCGCATGCATTTATACAGCAGGTCCCCGTAGTCAAGTACCGATAAAAAGGTAGACTGGACAAGTTTCATTTCCTTGCTTCATAGGGGAAACAACCTCTGTTTTGAAAATACAAGCCAAGTTTGAGCCTGAGTTTCTTTAAAAGCGTATCTATGTGTATATTAAAAGCTCATTTATCATCCAGTCAAATACCGAGATATTTGCAGCAAGTTACCCTTTCAATGACAGTGCCATTTAGTGTGTAATGGCTAAGGTTCTCCTGAGCGCGAGCTCTAGCAATGACATGAACTTGTTTTTTTGGATATTTAAAAGTAATTTGAGGTTGTGCAATGAGAACTGCGATGTAGAGAATGCAACCTGAAGTTGACAGCCTGAGCCAGGGTAGGAGAACATGTGTTTACATAACTGTGCTATCTGCATAGAGATGCAACTTTGCTCAATGCAAATGTTTTCCAATATCATTTACGAAAATGGTCATTAAAACGGGAGCCAAGACTGAGCCCTGGGAGACACCTCAGGAGATCTCAAGGGGTTTAGACATGTGATTTTCAACATAGACACTCTGCAATCTATCAGTGACATAGTTTCTAAACCAATTCACAACCTCTTTACCAACACCCACATTAATAAGTCTGGATAACAGTAAGTCATGATTGACTGAGTCAAATGCCTTAGATAAGTCAACAAATAATGCAGCACAGTGCTGTTTTTCATCAAGAGAATTAATAATAGCATTGGCCACCAACATAGCTGCTGTTAGGGTACTGTGTCCTGTCCTAAAACCAGAGTGAAACTCACTTAAAATGTTAAAAACTGTTTCATCCGGACATTTACCAGAGATTCAAGGATTTTGCTAAAATACATAATTGTCCTAGTCCTGGAAAAAGAAAGAATCTACTGGTGTACTGAGCAACAGACGTCAAACAGGTCGGCCAAGGAAAACAACAGAAGTTGATGACAGAAATATCGTAGAGCTGTTAAGAAAATCCCCAAAACATCAGTAAATGACATCACCAACGACGTCTACAGTGCAGCGGTGAAGGTATCACAATCCACTGTTCTAAGAAGACTCAGAGAGCAGAAATATAGAGGCCACACCACAAGATGCAAACCACTCATCAGCAGGAAGAAGAAGGCCAGATTGAAATTTGCAAAGAAGTACAGAGATGAGCTGCAAAAGTTCTGGAACACAATCTTATGGACTGATGAGACCAAGATTAATCTCTACCAAAGCGATGGAAAGGCCAAAGTGTGGAGAAAGAAGGAAAGGGTTTATGATCCGAAGCATACAAGCTCATCAGTGAAGCATGGTGGAGATAATGTCATGGCTTGGATGTGCATGGCTGCTTCTGGAACAGGCTCAATAATATTTATTCATGATGTAACTGATAGTGGTAGCAGCAGAATGAATTCATCAGTGGACAGAAACATTTTGTCTGCCAATTTATGGAGAAATGCATTGAAACTAATTGTGAGGAAGTTTATCATGAAGCAGGACAATGACTCAAAGGATACTGCCAACAAAACAAAGGACTTCATCAGGGGAAAAAGTGGAAGGTTTTAGACTGGCCAAGTCAATCACCTGACTTTAACCCAATAGAGCTGCATTTCACCTCCTTAAGAGGAGACTGGAGGGAGAAATACCCCGAAACAAACAAGAACTGAAAGAAACTGCGGTAAAACCCTGGAATAGCATCACAAATGAAGAATGCAACAGTTTGGTGATGTCGATGGTTCGCAGGCTTGAGGCAGTTGACGGCGACAGCATCAGCCTCAGTGCCAGGGAGAAGGAGCAGGGAGCAACAGCTGATGCAGGTCGGATCCAAGGAGAAGCAGCAGCACTGCAGCCACAGAGCGTCAGGAGAGCCTGGAAGAACAGTGACACAGCAGCAACACACACCAACAGCAGAGGCAGGCAAAACGATGAGCAACGCCACCGCGGCCACACACCAATAGCCAAGCCAGTTTGGATCCTAGGAGGAGCAGTAGCACTGCGGCCACAGATCCAACAGGAAAGCCTGGAGGAACGGTAGCACAGCGGCTACACACCGACAGCAGAGGTAGGTGAAATTACAAAGAGCAGCGCCACGGCAGTCACACACCAGCAACCGAGCCAGAGTGGATCCCAGGATGCAACAGGAGACCCTGCGGGAACGGCTGCATACACACCACCAAACAGCTGGGCGGAACAGAATGGAGACACCACGGCCACACAATACACTGATTCAGCAGAGGAGAGACTAAGAACACACAACCCACTGATTCAGCAGGTTCAACAAAGACTCAGGTTCAGATTTAACAAAGACATGGACAAAGATGGGACACGCTGCCTGCAGCATCTTGGTGCAGTACATTGAAAATTGAAACATGCAGCATGAGCACAGTCCCTAGATACTAGGTAGCTTTTTTCCCAGTTGATCACAAACCCCAGGCTTTTGAAGTGCAAGATCAGCTGGGCTGTGTGAAAAATCGCCCAAGTCCTCATGATCTCGCCATGACAATGAGGTCGTCTAAGAAGAAAACGACCCTTGTGCCCTGCTCACACAATGGTTTTAGCATGGTGTCCATGCATCTGCTAGCACGGAAGTCCATTTCCTCCTGATGCCCAGGAAAAGTAGTGGTATGCGGCAGAACTGAAGAGAGTAGCCATGTTTCCATTGTAGTGGATCAGCTAGTGTCGTTTTAATTATTTATGCGATTATGAGATTCCAAAAATGTCTGTCTCTAAGCCTGACCCAAGTGTAAGGTTTGCTTTCCCTAAGTGCCGTTTTGGGCAGTTAGACTTACCACCTCTGGTGAAGCTGAGATAAGACTCGATGCCCTGAGTGTTAAAATGACAATATCAACATTAACCAGAAACTAACTTTCTCCTGAACAGCCTATCAGAACTCTTTTGGAAGGAGGGCAGGAAACCCTAAACTGTCCCTCCACAAACGTAACCATGGCAACTGACCTTCCTCTTTGTGTAATTACCTCACATCAAAGGATATTCTCATCTTCACACCCAGATGTGAATTGGTGGGAAACTCCAGACACCAGAGAAGGACACTGCCCCAAATTCCTTTGTGTGGACAAATGAATACTGTCTCCTTTTAACTTGCCTATTACCTTGTTTGATTAAATAATCTTTGTTAAGATACTTAGCGGGTCTCTCCACTTCCATTTGAGTAGTTATATTACTGTGTTGTTGCTATTTAAAAGAAGACTCCATATAAGTACATTTTGCAGTGCTCTTTCAGCAATGATTCCTGACATTCGTTAAGTGATGTTTTTAACCAATGCTTTATTCCCAACACTTCTTATATTCCCCCAGAAATGATATGATACAGAAATGGTATCCTGTGCTATTGATTAATTTACTAGCTTGAATGTAATGTTAAATAACTAATTTCCCCAGGACCTGAGCAAGTGATTGTTTTAAAGAAATAATCAAAGTGATCTTCAGTTTCCTCTCGTGGAACAAGAGTCCCCCAAGAGGACAAACTAAGTATTACATGCTATCGTTCTGAAATACCGCCCCTGCTGTTTAATGTATCACTCTGTATTTTATTGGGTATAATCTGATGCCATGTTCGTGTAACTTGCTTATGTACTCTAAGTAAGAATGTGTAACAGCCAACATTACCCAGGAAATAGTTTAGTGGAAGTTTAGTGTCTTTCATCCTGAAAATGTGTTTAACTGGTAACCATTCTAATATTACAACAACTAAGTAATTGTTTCCTTTGCTTTTATAGAATGCTTGAAACCAAGAACGGTATAACCGTTTGACTGTTCCATTGTGGAGAGGTATTTGATTAAAATACGCGTATATAGTCTTTAGGACCATATTAAAAGTTAATACACCGAAGTCTCGGAGGAGACCAGAAACCAAGCCCCCTGGGGACACGCCCCAAGGGGCCAGACAAACAATACAGCGGAGCTCTTGTTGCTCGCTCTCTTCTCATGTACTCTGGTTCTTCAGCAGCTCTCGGCACACGCTCAGCGTGCTCCCGTGGTTTCTAAAGCTCTCTTTGTCTTCCAGCAAACTTTCGTTGATTTATCTTTTTCTTTTGTTTGTAAAGTCATCTTATTTTCTTTTTGTAGAAGTTATCAGACCGTTAAGTCACGCAATTTTAATTCAAGAACGACCAAGTTCTTTTTAAGCTTTATTTCGTCGAGTTAACTCACTCCTCCCCACGACAACAGTCGTCGGGAGCCAGCCACGTGGTTAGTTACGTGAGCAGTAACAAAGGACAATCAAACCGACAACCCGAGCAAAGGTTAGCAGCCTATCCCTGCAAGTTTTCTTCACTAAGCCAACCAGGGGGGACCCCCAGGACAACCTGCTAGTAAAAAGCTGGTCCTGGCGTACCAAGACGCAAAGGCCCAAGCGTTGACTAGTCGTGGGGCGCCGACCAGCAACCCGGCTGGGAGAAACAACAAGCAGTAAGGCTAAAACACTGCATTGATGTCCAATAGTCTGTTAATCCATTAGCTTTAATCCTTAAACATTCCTGCCTAAAACCCCACCGAGTTAGAATCATATAACCTGCTTTTATTAGTTCTCTTTCTCCATATGAATCAAATTCTCCCCACAATAGAACAACTCAATTTACATTGAACTCCACTACATTCTCATTGTTTGGATTCTGTCTGTTTAGTCATTGTGTATGTCTTTGATATATTTAACCGCATTCATATCCACCTTTAGTTAGTTAATAAATTTCACTGTAATCACAGGAACTGTGTGTGTGTGTGTGTGTGTGTATTGTTTAGCTCCAGGTCACTGTAACGGAGGATTTACGGCTTTGATATGAAATTGACTGACTGATTTTATAGAAATGATTAAGCAATTACTATTAACTGATCACTAGGAACCTAGGGAGTCTGGAGACCCTGGGCGAACTGAAATTCCTGAAAAAAAACGAAATATTATTCATAATTTGTATTAAAAATCATACGTCGCCATATTACACCATCCAGCTTATCAGTGTGTCATTCCACATGGAAATGTGTATGAGTGAGCAAAACGTCAGATCTCATCTTTGGCACTGTCCACCACCAAACTCTCCATAAATACAAGTTTAGCCCAAGGGGGGCTGACATCAAAAGGGCCAAGTGGGCCATGGTGTGTTCGAGGACACCACGGCCTGACGTGCAACAGTGTTTCATGGTGCAGTCAGCCTAAACACAACTGCCATGTTAAGTGACATGAAGGACATGGACACCCAGGATGCTAAGGCAGTAGGGACACTGCTATTTACATTTCACGCACGTATCTGTAGCAATGTCCTATTGGTTGGCTATGTGCACAATAAAAATTTAATTGGGCAATTGCGTGCATGTGATTGGAGGAGGTAGTACATGTAGCATGGCTAAATTAGCTATGAATTTTAATAAATTTATGAGAATTAATACCCAATTATGAATTTTAATATTCAGAAAATATCAAAAATCTCTCGTTTCAGGGCACCACCGGAGTTGTTATTATCCTAGAGTCTCCGGACCTCTAGGTAGCTTTTAATAATTATACAATTATTACTAGTGATCAGTTAGTTAATAATCGCTAAATTATCTTAATCAGTCAGTCTCATATCTAAAGGGTCAATTCTCTTGGCAGAGACGTGGAGATAGTCAACACACACAGTTCCTTGATTACAGTGAATTTATTAACTAATTAAAGTGATATAAAAGGGTGGTTAAATACAGGGAAAATAAACTATGGCTGAACAATGACAAATGGAAGTTCGATTGTAGGAAGCATTTGACTCATTCGGCAGAGGAGGACTAATGAAAGTAAGGTATGAGTTTAGGAGATAAAAGAAAATATTAACATTATGGGACATCTCTGAACACAGAATGTTTGTTAGGTCTTAAGGCTCGTCGATGGCCTGCTTTGGCCTGTTGCACGGGTCCCACGCTAGCTGCCCGATCATGGCTTTTTGCTAGGGATTCTCCGGGGTTCTCCGTGTCTGAAGAAAACCTCAAGGGTTTGCCGTCCTCCGTCTGGCAATTTGGCTGTTTTCAGGTTTCATTCGTTGTAGCTGGCGAGACCACGTGTCTTGGTCTGACCTCGGTGAAGTTGGCTCGACAAAAAAGCTTAAAAGGGAACTTGGTCGTTCCTGAATTAGTCCAGTGTAACTTAACAGACTGATAACTTTAACAAAACAAAAGAAAGAAAGAAAATAAAACAAACTGAGGGCAGATCAATGTCACGGCACTTCGCGTGTGTAGCTTCAAGAGAACAAAGGCCTCGTTGCGCTGGTCGAACTCTTAGGGCGTTGCCTGGAGAGGCACGCCGGACGCGTGCCGAAGCGTTCATAGAGCAGAGCGGAAGACCAAAGCACGAGGGGAAGAGAAGAGCAGAGAGAGAGCGATGTTGTGTGTCGCGCTTTTGTTGTCTGGGGCGTGGTTCCCCCAGGGGGCGTTTCAGGTTTCCTGAGGGACTGCCTTTCTAAACTTTTAATGTCTAAAAAGAAAGTCTATTTGCGCGTATTATAATCAAATATTTTCCACAATCAAACCTCAATGGTCAAATGGTTGTACCGTTCTAAGCTAAACGTTTGGTAACAGGAAAACAATTGTCACATTATTTTTCAGGATAAGTGGGTGACATTTATACGGCATTTCCGACGATGGTGTGTAATACTTATTTCGTCCACTTGGGGGAGCTCAGGTTACATGAGGAAAGCTTAGATTAACCCAAAACAATCTTTCCTTTGGAACTGGGGAATTCAGCATTAAATTCAAGCTGGATAATTAATATAGTATGACATTTCTTTATCATCATTTATCACTAATGGAATTGTGTGAGAAAGTATTGTGAACAAGCATTGGTTACACATTAAATGAAGGATTGTCCTTAATCTTGCTGAAAATAAAAACACTGCAATAGTAACTTATTTAGATTCTTTTCAGCACTAATATCAACAACAGATAGCAACAACATGGTAACATAACTACTCAAATAGAGGCAAACATAATCAAGTAACTAAAAGATTTAAACAGTTAAGGCTTTGGGGTCTTTGGAGACTGCAGTCTTTGGTTATTTAAAGTTCGGCTGTCCTGGATTACGTCACACTTAGGCGTAAAAGGGGGTGTCCCTTTGATGGGGTAATGAAACACAGAGCAAGGTCAGTTGCCACGGTTACGTGTGTGTGTGTGTGTGTGTGGGGGGGGGGGTGTAGGATTTCCTGCCTTTCTAATAGGCTCTCTGGTTAATTTCCCTTTTGTCAGTTTAACAGTCAGTCACCGCGTTATCAGCTTCGGAATAAAAACATTTTTGTTTTATGATCAGGCTGCTCAGGGATAGCACTTAGAGAAAGCGACTTTCCACCCCCTTCTGTTGGGTTCTCATCAGCAGTCTGTTAAAGTTGATCTTTAACACCCCTGCTCCTCTCTGGGAGAGGAAAAGAGGAATTTGGAGTAGCTCAAAATTTATTTAATATAAAATGCACAAATCCACAATGTTGTCCCATTACATACACATAGAGTCCATTAAAGGGCGGAGCCTGTGTAAGAGAACTGACTTGTTTCTGTTTTAACAACAGTTAAAGCATCCAAGTGCCGCATACAATCCCCAACAGCGCAAGTCAGGGCTTCAGTTTTTAACATTACATAGCTTACTGAAACTACTGTATATGTACGCTTAGGTATAAACTGTATGCAACTCACAGCGCGAGGTGGGTCCACGTCACTCACTGGTGTCGCAGCAAAGTTGCTTTAAATGTGCGATAACAAGACATTCACGGTGTATTCCTCAGAGAAATAAACACATTTCCAAGAATACCACGAAAGAGAACATAAATTTTACTGAGATTACACAGTAAACACCATGTGGGTAAAATCTTACAGATTATAGACTTCCCGCTCCCGTGAAGGCAGCACAGAGCTGCACCACAAGTAGCTGACGGAGAAAAAATACACAGTCTCGTCCAGTCGCAGTGGACTAAATGGGCAGGTTTGAATGTTACACACCGCAGTTTAAAGTAGTTCAAAGTTTAAACTCATATTGTTGTGAATCTTTGGTGTAATCTCGTCTTAGAATTTCCAACTAACAAATGTTCCCCAAAAGCAGCTCAGTGCCCCCCTTTCAAATTATTGATTCCAGGGCCCCCCATCGTCCTTGAAACGCCCCCTGGGGGCCGTTGAGAAACACTACAGTATATAATGAAAAACAAAGAAAAAAACATAAAAATAATACAGTTGTGATAATGATATAAAATTCAATCAAGCTGATGAAAATACATTTATGACTTGGGAACTCAAGGCAAAGGCTCAGACCATGTAATGAATGTGTATATGTGCATATACTTACTTGGGCCTTTTGTTGTAGGTCGCAATGTGAGAGATGTTTTGGAGAGATGGTGATGGTTTACATGGAAAGAAGAATATTTTGAATTCAATATTTTGTTTATATTTCAGTTGTGTGATATGTCATAACTAAAAATAAAATGAAACACATTTTATTTATACAAAGAAATTAAGGAATAATAATGACAAGGAATGTCATGTTAACATATTGTTAAAGTTCCTTTTGAAACTGGTCAGAAAAAAACATGGAAGAAGAAAAGCCTCCATGACATTAACTTAATAACGTGAACATGTTCAAATGTAAAAAGGATAAAGCTAATACACAATAGTCAAACATCTTACCAGTGACTGCAGTAAAGTTTACTCCACTGCTTCTGACGTTCTCAAACACAGAGTAGAGAGTGAATGTGTATGTAGTTGCAGCAGTGAGAGATGAGACTGTGTGAGTTACTGGTCCATCTCCATCTGGTGCAGTGATGTTGATCTCTGCATCATTAAACTGGAGAATAAAGTTCACGTTGTTCTTCACTTTATTCCACTGCAGAGTGATACTGGTCTCATCTTGTCCTATTGATATGACGCTTTCTGCTTTTGGAGGAGCTGAGACAAAAAGAGCAGTGAAACATGGATTAAGAAATGACTGTCGCTAAAAGTGATGTCTGTTGTTTTTCCCTCTTACAGCTAAAGAAGGTTCATTTTGTATCCCCACAGTCACAGGTTTGGGTTTGTTGTGTGTTTTTGTAATTTGTTTCAATTCCATTCAATCTAGCTTTATTGCCATGAATGTGTTCATATCCTGCGCTTGTGTTTTCTCATATCTGTAGTATGTTGTATGTTGTTGTATGTCTGTGTTTTATGCTTTCTTTTGAAGGTTTTATTTTCGTGACATTAGTCCTTGTGTTTCTGTTAGCTTTACTTCCTGTTTTAGTTTGTAGGCTGCTCCTAGTGTTTCTTGTCATGTTTTTTCCTGTGTTTCTCTGTTCTCTCTGATTGTGTGAGTAGTGTCACCTGTGTGTAATTAGTTTCCACTGTGTATTTAAATGGTTGTCTTTCTGTTGTGGCCAGTTCATTGTTGATTTTGTGTGTGTTGTTTCCAGCGTTGACTTATACTTTAGTTGGACCTTTGGATTACTCACCCCTTTGTGTTTTAGGGCTGTTCACACCACACTACCGGTAATTTTCACCATTAATTTTTTTGCAAATAAATCTCACCTATTCACCAGGGCCTTGTTTCAGAAAGCAGGTTTAACAAACTCTGAGCCTATCCCTGAGCTCTGAGTTGACTGAGCCTGAAATGTAAAACAACTTTTCGGTTTCAGAAAAGCCGATCAGAATAAGCTCAGTCAACTCTGAGTATGTTGAACCTGATGGAAGCACATGTGTGGGGATGAAAAAAATGGAGCTCCAATACTACGAATCCCTATGGCAACGGGTAAATTAAGGCAGAGCCTCCATTTTAATCGGGTGGAGCTAGAAATATGAATGTGTGCCAACGCGGACCATGATATGGTATTTATGTTAAAACGCGGAAGTGGAGGAAGGATCAATACATTAACAAGATTACATTTTATCCAGCATTGCTCATTCATCATTTACCACTCTAGGATTACCTTAATGATAAAGTGCTGGAATTCTCCTAAAGTTCATTACATTCATTTTAAATAGGTTGCAGGCCTATTTATTTAGCTGTAACCTGAAGGGACAAAATGCCAGTGGCAATAACTGAAGATGAAAATATTAATTAAACAGATTAGACATAGTTTGGTACTCCTGGCCTGTGATTTTATAGTCACGGTCCGACTGAGTAGGTTAGCCTATTTTTTGCAGTGGAAAATGTGTTCAAACTGACTCTAAAGTTTTAGATGTCTATTTTACCTTAATAAAATTACAGTCATATTTTACATTTTGTATTTTATGAAATGCTATGAAAACACATTCAGACTATGCAGCTAATAGCCTAATGAGAAACTCACTTTTAAACTACATTTAGGCCCATTTGTTTCAGCTGCACCACAGTCATCCTCACTCAAATAGTCACATTATCTCTAGTTGATAACTATGAATAACTATGTTCTGATAAGTGTGACTACAATATGAAAGATTACTGTTGATAATTTTTATACTGATTAGTTTAAACAGTGATTTCTGCAGTAATGTAGCTCACAGTAAGTGTTTTTGTGAAAATGTTTCCAACCTAACAGCTGCGTTATGTCCATAGAGTGTTATAAAGAAGGACAGTGTAGCCCATAGATTTTATTCTGTGCTGAGGATAAATCCACAATGTGCGGAGATAACGCTCTTTCCTTACATTGATACCAGTTTGTTTGAGATAATTTTTGGGTGAAAAAACAAATAACATTGAAATCCCGGTTACATAGGCTAAGACGTAAATGTGTTCCAAAATTCAATTCAATTCTATTTATATAGCGCCAAATCACAACAACAGTTATCTGACAGCGCTTTTCATAAAAGAGCAGGTCTAGACCGTACTCTATGATGTTATTTAAAGAAGCGCAACAGTTCCCACCAAGAGCAAGCACTATGCGACAGAGGCAAGGAAAAACTTCCTTATAAGAGGCAGAAACCTCGAGCAGAACCATGGCTCAGGGTGGGCGGCCATCTGCCTCGACCGGTTGGTGGTGAAGGAGAGAGAGGGGGAGATAGAGAGGGAGAGGGCAAGAGAGGAACAGAGAGAAAAAGAGGGATGGAAGGAGAGAGAGAGGGGAGGGAGGCAGCCTACACAATATAAACACACAGAGGTACAGACAGTAAAGGTGATGTTGCTATAGACTAAATGAAAAATGGTATAGATATTTATAGTAGTGTTAATGATAACAATGATTATAATAACAATAATAATAATAATAGGACTAGTAACAATAGTTGTTGGCTGGGTGTCGAGCAGGAACACGGGGGCAGCAGGTGACCCGCAGCCACAGATCCAGACTCAGAGCCAGAAAACCTGCAGGAAGTGATAGGAGGAGAGACGAGAGGGACGAGAAAGCACAAGACTACCGGAAAGGGGAGAAGTTGTGTTAGTAACATGCAATAATGGGTTGAGGCTGTATACACAGGGAGGGGAAGTAGAGGAGAGAGGAGCTCAGTGCATCATGGGAAATCCCCCGGCAGTCTAGGCCTATAGCAGCATAACTAAGGGATGGTTCAGGACTAACCTGAACGGACTTTTTCGAGCAGCCTGATAATAAGGAATTGCAGTAATCCAGCCTAGAAGTAACAAATGCATGGACTAGTTTTTCTGCATCATTTTTAGACAGGATGTTCCTGATTTTCGAAATATTACGTAGGTGAAAAAAGGCGGTCCTTGAAATTTGCTTAATGTGAGACTTAAACGACATGTCCTGATCAAAGATAACTCCAAGATTCCTTACAGTGGTGCTGGAGGCCAGGGCGATGCCATCAAGGGAAACTATATCTTTAGATAATGCGTCACAGAGGTGCTTAGGCCCCAGAACAATAACTTCAGTTATATCTGAGTTTAACATTAGAAAATTACAGGTCATCCAGGTTTTAACATCCTGAAGGCACATTTGAAGTTTAGCTAACTGATGAGTTTCATCTGGCTTGATCGATAGATATAACTGAGTATCATCTGCATAACAATGAAAGCTTATGGAATATTTCCTGATAATATTGCCTAAAGGAAGCATATATAAAGTGAAGAGGATTGGTCCGAGGACAGATCCTTGTGGAACTCCATGACTAACTTTGGCACGCATGGAGGACTCATCGTTAACATGTACAAACTGAAATCGATCTGATAAATAGGACTTAAACCAGCTTAGAGCGGTTCCTTTAATGCCAATGAAATGTTCCAGTCTCTGCAATAGGATCTGATGGTCAATGGTATCAAATGCAGCACTAAGATCTAATAAAAACAGTACAGAGACAAGTCCTTTGTCTGATGCAATAAGGACGTCATTTTCACCAGTGCTGTCTCTGTGCTATGATGAGCTCTAAATCCTGACTGAAAATCCTCAAATAAACTATTGCTCTGTGGAAAGTCTGGCTACAGTGCTGAAAAGAAACCTGGGGTTGCTCCTATTTTCCTCTATTAAAGACGAGTAGTACGCTGCTCTGGCATTACGGAGGGCCTTCCTATAAGTTTTAAGACTATCTTGCCAAATTAAACGAGAATTTTCCAGTTTGGTGGAATTCCTCTGAAGTTTCTGCGATATTTGCTTTAATTTGCGAGTTTCAGTATTATACCATGGAGCTAACCGTCTTGGTTTTATTATTTTCTTTTTTAGAGGGGCTACAGAGTTGAGTGTCATTCGCAGCGAGCCTGCAGCACTATCAACAAGATGATCGATTTGGGAGGGACTGAAATTAGCATAGGAGTCCTGTGTCATTTGTTAGTCCTGAGTCCTGTGTTACTTTGTGACTTGATAATGAATTTAGAGCTGATGGAATCGCATCCTTAAATTTAGCTATGGCACTATCAGTCAGACATCTTGTATAGAAATTTTTGCCCAATGGCGTGTAGTTCAGCAATACAAACTCAAAAGTTATCAAACAGTGGTCGGATAAAGAGGGATTCTGTGAGAACACTATTAAATGTTCAGTTTCAATACCATACACCAGAACAAGGTCGAGGGTGTGGTTAAAACAGTGAGTCGGTTCATGAACACTCTGAGAGAAGCCAATGGAATCTAACAGAGAGATAAACGCAGTACTAAAGCTGTCATTCTCAACGTCCACATGAATATTAAAAGGACTAAAGTTGACAAAAACTCTGCAAATTCAGATAAGAATTCAGAGCACGGACTAGGTGCGCGGTACGCTATAACGAAAAGGTTGCAGTGATTTCCAACTGGGGTGCGAAAGACTAAGAACAAGGCTTTCAAATGAGTTATAGTTTAGTTTAGGTTTAGATCTGATTAGTAGGCTAGAGTCAAAGATAGCTGCAACTCCACCTCCTCGGCCTGTGCCTCGAGGAATGTGAGTATTAGTATGACTGGGAGGGATGGATTCATTTCGGCTAACATATTCTCCATCACCCAGCCAGGTTTCAGTAAGACAAAATAAATTAATATCATAATCTGATATTAGTTAATTTACTAGTACACCTTTAGAAGAGAGAGATCTGATACATTTATTTTTCCTATTAGTTTGCACTATTTCTCTTGTGGTTTTAATTTTTATGAGGTTTTTATGTACAGCTCCTCTTTTGTTTAACTTTTTAAATAATTTCGATGGTCGGGGGACAGACACCGTCACTATAGGATTTTCATGGATGCCGTGACGACATGCAGCTATACATGTCGTCACTGGTCAGATTTGGCAGGGGTGCAGAGAAAACTACAGTGCCCGACATTGTTTTTGCATATGTACACACCGACTCAACATTAATCTTAGTGACCTCCGATTGGCTTAACAGGGAGTCATTACCGCCGACGTGAATAACAATCTTACTGTATTTATGTTTATCCTTAGCCAGCAGTTTCAAATAAAACTCAGTGTCCCCTGCTCTGGCCCCAGGGATGCGCTTAACTATGGCCGCTGGCTTTGCTAACTTCACGTTTCTCAAAATGGAGCTGCCAATGATCAGAGTTGGTTTCTCAGCGGGTGTGTCGGTGAGTGGGGAAAATCTGTTAGAGACGTGAACAGGTTGATGATAATCTGTGGGCTTTGAATGCTTACGACTATTCCTCCTTCGGACAGTCACCCAGCCCCCCCTTCCTGGCTGCACAGGAAATCCTGGAGGACGGCTACCAGAGGCTACCTCAGGCCGTTCTGCACCGACTACCGGGGACTGGCTAGCTACAGTAGCTAAAGACTGATCTACCAAGGTGCGGAGCCGGACTTCTAAATCACTGAGCCTCACCTCCATGTCTATAAATAAACTACACTGGCAGGCAGGAGGCAGAAGCCATTGCTAGCTGCTGAGCTAAAGTCGCTAAAGGCTAAGCTAAAGTACTGTAGTGTCAGCTACCAAAACTTTTGAAAACAACTATGAGATTAAACAGCAGTCACTAAAGATGGAAAGAACTGTGAGTGCTTAGGCAAAATTACTGTAAGAATAAGTGTTTAGCGGACAGTTGGCCGCTGTAATCTAACAAATTAAACTGGTATTTAGTGAGCGCAGCACAACACGGTACCAACACACAAGCACCGGAAACGGAAATGAGTCGACACGCTTACCGCAGTACGTCAGCAACCTCGTGATTCAATATGTGCTTTGATATTGACAGTGTGAATGAGGAAATGTCAGAACTTCAGGCTCTGCAGGAGGGGAGGAGTCAGAGTGAAACTTATCTGATCTTGGTCTCTTAAACTGAAAACCCTTTACTTTATATGACAACCGTTATGTACTCCACAATTTATGAAGAATAACGTCACAAAAGTTAAATTTATCATTCTCAATGTAAAAATTATTACAGTGGCTCGCAAAGTAGATACAGAGTATAGAAATAAATATTTTACCGGTAACTGCAGTAATGTTTACTCCACTGCTTCTGACGTTCTCAAACACAGAGAAGAGAGTGAATGTGTATTTAGTTGCAGCAGTGAGAGATGAGACTGTGTGAGTTACTGGTCCATCATCATCTGGTGCAGTGAGGTCGATCTCTGCACCATTAAACTGGAGAATAAAGCTGATGTTGTTGTTCACTTTATTCCACTGCAGAGTGATACTGGTCTCATCTTGTCCTATTGATCTGAAGTTTTCAGTTTTTGAAGGAGCTGAGACAGAAGGAGAGAAGTAAATTAATTTATTAAGCAACTTTGTGTGAAAAATTCACACTCAGTCTGGCTATTAAGGTCATTCCATTTTGTATCCCATTGTTAACAAAACCTAATGGTGCCTATGAGAGATACATATTTGTATTAGCAAGAATGTTGTGTCACATTTTATACCTAACCACATCATTGTGTTTCACAAGACATGTAATGAACAATAAATCGAGAATTAAAAATTCATAGGACTTGAATATGGATAACTAACTAGGGGGAAATAAATAAGTTGAATGTGTTGGCCAATACAGGATTTGATTTGAAGTACAGAAGCAGGACAGTTTTACACAGTCACACTGAGTTTATTTAAGATTTGTTGACTGTTTGATGCAACACACATAATGTACTTCATGCATCATGTTGACATAATCACTGATGTAACTGCTATTCCCAAATGATACATCACCAATTACAAATCAGTCGTCTGTTGAAGTTTTATAGATGAAAAACAGTCATATCTTTAGGAACTTAAATTTAAATACCGTGCTGATTTGACATGATCACTAGATTTTCGCAGGATTATCTGCTGTAAATAACCTTCTGAACAACATTTAGCAGAAGTAAAAAAAGTAAAAAAATACAGAACATTCTTAGTTCTGCCTTAACAGACTTAACAAATCTAAAATCAGTTTTGATTTTGTTTGTAAAGGTACGATATATAATGGCTAATGTTGCAACAATAAATCTCTATACAGTACGTGAGTAGAAAATTTAAATTTAAAAATGTAATAAATAAGATACATTACTAGAGTAACAGATGAACGGGAAAGTGAGGGAGCAGCTATCATCTGACCACTGTCCTGAGTATGTGAATGTTGTGGTGACACACTGCTTTTTGCTTTGTAGTTGCCCACTGAACCAGTTTTCAAATAGAGAGGTGCTCCCATCAGACCACAGTTGTTCCCAGTGCAGACCGATCCACACAGCATGCCCAGCTGCCAGGTTTGTGATGATGTCATTTTCTGTGCGATTTTGTATTCTGTAAGAGAAACAGTAGCATATACACATCAAGGGTAAGTATAACTGAAGAACTAACAGACGGAACATATCTGACAGTGCAATACATTGTTTCTGATTATTGGGAGACATAATATTAAATCTCATGTGATTATTTAAGAATTTGCTAACGTGTTCAGCCACCTGGACAACGTAGCTGTTTATTAACATCTTAAAATCAGTGCAACATAATCACCTTACAATCAAGATATACTTCAAGTAATATACTTAGATCACTAAAACTGCTCATCATCATCATCTCCTCCATCCATCCCTTACTTGACTCCAAGTGCTTTGCAGTCATAAAACCAAGTTTTATTAATTTTAGACTTCCTGGGGGCGCGGCTACACTGCTGACCTGACTGTGTGTCACCGCTAGTACTTTTAATGTTATTAGTGTGTTGTAGTTGTTTGTTTTTTAGACTTTGTCCCTAATGTTGTGTTGTTTAAGCGTTCAACGCAGTCATCCCAGACAAGACCGAAGTTTGGATTACACCCACTATTACTACGAGGGGCTACCAGTAGAGTTTCAGGAGCGGAACTGCTGTTAGATCCCGAGTTACCCCTGCTCAGGAGGTACTGGACCAGCTCTCTGTCTTATTGTGCATTCAGACCAAACGCGAATTTAATCCTTGCGACGCTTTCCTCCCCGTGAGTAGATTCGCTGAAAGTGTTCACACAAAACACGAGAAGGTGATTAGAACCCGCAAAAATTCTCTCGAGTTGGAAATTTTCAACTCACGCAAAGGCCTTTGTGTCGCTCCACCCGGAGCCACCTGTAACCCGGATTCTATGAGTATAGGCGCAGCCCTGTTAGGCTATTGGGTTTACCCCTTCTGCGCGCCTGCGCATCACCGAAAATTTTAGTCATCGCACAGCGTGGGCCTCTCCTATGTCTGCACCTTGTGTATATATACGGGGGAATGAGCAGGTGGCAGCCGGCGGAGGCCGGGGAGCTCTCTGACGAGGCCGCCGATGGATGGCAGAGAGGTGGCGGCGGAGCCCCCTTGAGGCTGGGATCACCCTCATGAAGGCCAGGGTCAATGTTCTCTGAAGGTTGGAACGGGGGAAGAGGAGAGCGGCTGGGGGACATGTGGGGGGAGAGGGCGGAGTCTTCTGACTCCTGCTTCTCCTACTGTGCTCACATCAGGGATGAAGATCCCCCAGCAGGATGAAGCCCGTCTTGCAGACCTCGCACAGCCGGACGGAGGACACAGCCGGCAGGTAGGAAGGCATCGTTCTTCTCGCTGCAGGCAGATTACTCTCTTCTTCTTTTGTCTTCTATGCTCTTAGACTTCAAGCTTAGTGCTGAAGACAACAGGGAGCCGAAGGCTGGGTCTCACCGTTGTGTGTGTATATATACAAAAGGTGTGGATGTAGGATTGGCCCACACTGTGAGTAGGCGTAGACTGAAATTCTCAGTGCCGCGCAGACGCGCGGAAGGGGTAAAACCAATACCGATAGCCTTAGAGGGCAAAGCCTACACAAAACAGAACAGACATAGAATAGAATATACTTTTCCCCCTAGGGGTACTTTGTCATGGACTCAAAAGTGCGTAGTGCATAGTAGTAGCTGCCCTTAGAAACAGTAAACAGTAATAGTAATCACCTCATGCCTGCCTGTATTTCAACCCCGGTTCTCCATGCCATCCTCGCTTGATCGTCGTTGCTCCATACCTGGTGCCACCTCCGTGTTCAGGCTTTTCATTTTCAGTTTCTTGTTTTTTCACATTTTCCCTGTGCTTTGTCGCCATCACCTCTAACCCTGTCTCTCTGTCTGTTTCCCTCCCAGGTACACTCACCCTTGTCCTCCGTTCAGTCGGCTGGGCTCATCCACCGGCCCTCTCCTCCTCAGACTACCCCCACAGCGTCCTCCCTGTTCTCCCACCGCTCCTCGCTTCCTCGGCCCCAGTGTTCCCCGGCTCCCTGGCCCCCAGTCTTCGTGGTTCCCCGTGCCTGTGTTTCCCCGACATCCACCTCTCCCTCCACTCCAGTCCCTCTACCCCTTTATCCCTCAATAAACCTCCTTCCCTCAGATTGCTGCTTTTGGGTCCTCTCTGTCCCCACACCACACAACCTCATAACACCATAGATATGGACTGGCAGGTTTCTCCACAGGTTAGGGGCAGCTGCACTAAAGGCTCAATCTCCTCTGGTTTTAAGTCTGCTTCTGGGTCCATCCAGGAGGAGGAGATTGGTGGATCTCAACACTCTAGCTGGAGTATGAACATGAAGAAGTTCTGTTAAGTACAATGGAGCCAATCCATTAAGGCATTTAAAAGTAAAAAGTAAGATTTTAAAATCAATCCTGTAATGAACAGGAAGCCAGTGGAAGGAGCGCAACACAGGTGTGATGTGGTCCCTAACTATACTAACTGTAGGCGCTGAATAGATGACTTGTCTAAGCCCACATATAAGGAGTTGCAATAGTCAAAGCGGGAAGTTATAAAAGCATTTATCCCCCTCTCAAAATCTTTAGGAGGGAGATAGGCTTTTACCTTGGCTATACTGTAGTTCTCAACTGGAAAAAGCAGGATCTAACAGTGGCGGATATCTGTTTATCAAATTTAAATGCACTGTCCAATACAACACCAAGACTCCTCACAGTTGAGCGGTTATTTGAACTCAAAGGGCCGAGAGAATCTACATCAAGCAGTTCAGGGTGTCCAAACACTATGATCTCTGTCTTTTTTCTGTTTAGGTTGAGGAAGTTTAGGTTCATCCACGTTTTGATGTCCTTCATACAGTCAAGCAGGAGGTGCAGTGAGCCCTTAGTTTTTACATTCAGGAGCAAATCAATTTGAATATCATCTGCAAAACAGTGGAAAGAGACCTCATACCCCTCAAAAATGGAGGCCAGCAGCAGCATATACAAAGAAAAGATGATGGGGCCTAAGACAGAACCTTGAAGCACACCACAAGTAAATGGGGCCATCTCAGAGGAATAATCACTGAGGTGGACAGAGAAACTCCTATCTGTTAGATAGGACTGAAGTAATAACTTTTTATTCCCACACAATTTTCCAGCCGTGACAAGAGGATTGAGTGGTCTAAGATTGACTGGCTAAGCACTAGAGACTCCTGAGTCAGCAGTTAAAATCAAGTCAGTAAAAACTCTTAAAAGGGCCGTTTCAGTGCTTTGACGAGGTTTGAAGCCGGACTGGAACTTTTCATAAACATTATTATCAATTAAAAATGTGTGCAGCTGGGTAAAAACTACTTTCTCCAGGACTTTAGATAAGAAAGACAGTTTAGAGATGGGCCTGAAGTTAGAAAGAACAGAGGGGTCAAGATTTTCCTTTTTAGCAGGAGCTGTACAACAGCATGTTTAAAGACGGAAGGAAGATAACCAGAGATAAGACAGGTATTTATCACGTCATGACAAAATACATGGTCCAACGGTATCAAAGACTTCTCTAATCAGACGAAAGGGAATGCTGTCTGAGTGACAACTTGTGGGCTGCAGATGATGGACCACCTCAGATAGGGAGGATTGATATGGGCTCAAACTGATCTAGAACCGCAAGGCAAATAGGAGGAATAGAGGGATCATGGTCAGAGGACGTGGTTACAGAAGATCAAAGAGCAAAAAGAATTTTAGGAAAGAGTCACATAGGTGTTAATAATATATAGGTGTAATAGGAGCAGAGCTTCGGAGATTTGTAATGGTGTTAAATATATTAAAAAGAACCTGAGGCCTGTGACAGTTGTTAGAGACCAGCTTAGAAATAAAATCAGATTTTGCAGATTTTACAGCTCTCAGATAGTCAGATAGATATTGCTGTAGGATTTCATATGACACTCTGAGTTTATCTTTCTTCCACCTTCTCTCAGCTTGCCGACATGCACGTCTGATCGCATGGGTGGTGTCATTTAACCAGGGCTCTGAAAGTGCTTTAGTGTGTTTCATCCTCAAAGGAGCTACAGAGTCCAAGATGTTTGTGCAGGTTGAATTAAAAAGAGTAATAAGTTCACCAGTACCAGTAGCATCACCTCCATCCAAGTTATAGAGCACAGAGTCTTTGAAAGCAGCAGAGAACTGTTCCGGGGTTTGACTGTGACCACAGAAAATGGGATTGTAATCATAAATAAAACAGGTAAGTGATCTGAAATACATACGTTACAGATTTCATTTACATGAACACAAGCCATGAGATAGCACAAGGTCTAATGTGTGTTCCTTTTCATGTGTTGCGCCGGACATCGATTGAGTGAGATTAAAAGAGTTAAGAAGATTTAAGAAGTCTTTAACCATAGGTTTGCTTTCACAGCATACATGTAAATTAAAGTCACCATAAATTATAAAATGGTCGTAGTTTAACCTGATACCTGCGATAAAATCAGCAAACACTTGCATAAAATCCGTCTTGAATTTTAGTGGAAGATACACAACTGCACACAGCGTCGGAGATGAGGCGTTTAATTCAAACAGCTGCAGCTCAAAGCTAGAATAGGTGACAGATGCAGACAGCCAACACTGGAAGGTGGATTTAAACACAGTGGCAAGCCCCCCACCTTTGACAGTGGTCCAAGGAGAGCTAAATGTACAGTTTGAGGGAGAAGCTCAGAAAAGGAAGCAGACTTGACTCACCAACAAGAACTGGGCCATACAAAGAGTTAAATCCAAACTGTCTGGTTTTGAAGCACGTTGCAGTGTGCGCAAATTAGCCGTTATTCACACCACGTTTCCTCACCCAGAACCCCGTGTGTCAGGCCGTGAGGAAGGTGGAACAGCGTCGGAGGAACAGCACCCGAACATGACCCTGTCACCAAGTTGGCAAGAAGGAAGCCCACAATAGCAGTCGGGCTGGGGAAGACAGGTCGAATCCATCGCAGGCACGCAACCTCCGAACACCGGCAGCCACAGACAGCAGGATGACAGCAGCCCCCACCACAGAGTAGACAAGGATGAGGCACATCTGAGGACCTCAGGTAAGCCCTGAGGCGAACAAGCACGCCGACACACTTTCCATGTCTCCTGTGGTGCTTTTTCCAGGGAAGAAAACACGGGACACATGGGTAGTCTGGGATGTTGGACAACCATGGGGGCAGGCCTCCAGCCTGTTCTCCCAAACCATCTCTAGACAGCCCCAAAGCCTCACAGGACGCTCGGTTGTTAAACAAAGTTTTTCGATCATAAACGAGAAGGCTAGTTACATCCCGGCAGATAAAACACAGAAATAAAGCAGCAGCAAAAAATAGGCAGATGCTACATACAACATAGTGATGTTTTTATAGTTCTGGTGAGACCAAAGATGATTTTCCAGCCTTCGCTGGACAATAAAGTGGTGTTCTATTCTATTCTACTATAAGGATGAAAAATGTATAACTTATAGGTAAAACAATTGATAATAACAATTGATAATAATAAAAAATGAACAAACACAGGAAGGATTCAAATGACAAAAAGGATCAAAATAAAAAAACAGTAGGACAGATTATCCAATCCTTTTGAGATTACAAAACTGAATAAACCAAATGTCATTAACAGAACAGATAGTTGTTGTTAAGTAGTTGGTTCAGTGCTGAACTATTGTATGTGTTGGAGTCTTCATTAGTGCACACTGTACCTGGCTAGATCGACATAATTCTCCCTGCAGTATCTCTGAGCTTCAGTCCAATTCAAAGGTTTATTGATCTTTACAAAGGGTGATGTGCCATTTACTGAACCTGGAAATATATTGATGAAGAGAAGTTAACAATGTGCTATGCTGAAGATCTATTTAACCTTTTGTTAATTCTTACGCTATAAGAAAACTCACCATTGTAGCAAACAAAAAAGAATTTGTTGGTGCAATTAAGGTCCACCCATGTTCCAAAGGCATTTAAGTTATAGTAATAGTTTTGAAGCACCACACAGAGCTGTACTCCGTAAGGATTGAAGGGATGTCCAGGAGCCCAGTTTCTAAACTCTGTCTCTCCTTCACCATAGAAGCTGCTGTCACTCAAGGACCATCTCCAGCTGTGATCATAGAGGCCTATCCAAGCCTTGCCTGTTCACACAGATATTAATTATATCTAAGACCTTAAACTAAAATAGTTGCTGAATTTACGTTATATGTAAACAACTTCAATGAATATTTTATATATTTTACGTAATCATAAATAAGCAAATATGTGTTTTTTTCCTGTCTGTTGTGTATGTATATGATTATACATCAGTATATATAAAGTGTGTTTATGTTCTGTATGTGTCCAATATTTTGAACTTGCCTGTGTAGCTTGGTGTGGTCCTGAGTACAGCCCTGACATCAGTTGTGTTTTCTATGGTGGCCAGGTCAGTGTAGACCTGTCTACAGAAGCTCTGAGCTTCAGTCCAGTTCAGTGGCGTACTCACAAAGTAGTACTGACGAGTAGAGGCAACATTGACCAGTGCTGCAAAGCAAAATCAGTTTTTAATTACTTATCTTTTTATAAAGCATGAAGAGGCACTATTCATCAAGTGGGTTCAGCTGTACTGTAGGGTTTTAAAATACATTTACATTACAATAAATCTCTGATGAGATTTTTGAATGCTAGTAGCATACACTGTATCATGACTACAGAGCATGGAATCAGTGAATGCTCCATTGAAACTAAACCAAACAGTTGTGCTGGATTTAATGTCTAGTTCCAGACAAGCTGCAGTTGCAAGATATATCATAACTGAAAATATAATGAAACATACTTTTTTAATTTATACCAAAAAGAAAAGAAATAAAAATAATGACAAGGAATGAAGGAAAGGTAACATGTTAACATTGTCCTTTTAAAAGTGCTCAGAAAAAAAACAAAGACAACATAAAGTTACAGTTTTTCTCCATTGCTTAAACACTAAAAGCAGGCTTTTGAATAAAAATTTCAAAACCATAATTTTTCAAAAAGCACACCCATTTCCCTAAACTCTACACACAAATACATTCATTTCTCATTGCCTACACCATGTGGTCACTGAGAAAACGCTAACTAATTCAATATTGTTCACTCAATCAGCACAGGTTGAACTCAATTAGCACACAGCTACCAAGGTGGAAACACAAACAGTCAAAATTGATAACACACCAATCAGAAGCTTCAATTGACAGATAAAAGGGCCGGAGTCAGTTCGTTCAGGTTTGGAAAAATAGATCCAGAGAAATCTGAAGGAAGAGGTGTAGGACACCAGAGTGGAGGAGTAGATGAGATAGGAGGAAGATGAGGAGGTGGAGGATGAGTAGGGGGTAGGAAGAGGGAGTAAAAGTAGGGAGGAGAAGGAGGTGGAGGAGGTAGAGGGAAGAGGAGTAGGTGGAGAACAAGAATCTCTAGTCTGTCCCAGACCAAAGATAGGACGTTGTGTCAGAATAATTAGTTTTTTAGTGTGTTGTACTGTACAGTACACTAATGAATGAGAAATGTGTGCAAATGTTTACATTTGTTATTTATTTTGTTGTTTTCATTATGTGAAAAGGTGTTTGAGCCACAAGCAACATTACTTACAACCAGATTTTGTATTATTGTTTTGAATTTATCTCACCAGTGTGTAAGATTGTGTTGTGTGTGTGTTTCTGAGGGCTTGTGTGTCATGTCTGAGGGCAAAGTTTGGTTTTTCAGCAAGACTGAATGGTTTTGAGTGGAGAGCCTCATTTTGACCTGAAAATAGGATGTTTGGGGAACTGTGTGAGACGTTGTGGATTTGTGTTTAGAGTTTCAAGAAAAAGAGAAATACTGTAACTTAGTTTTTTTTCAATTGCTAACAAGTGTTTCCCTAAACTTATGATACTTTATCAAAAGTCTTAACACAGCAACACATCTCCTCACACAATTAGCCAAATAGTACATTTTCTGCTCAAAACCACATTTTGTTCTTTCAACACCAACTCTGCATTTCAAAATGCAAAAGAAAATGTTCTCTACATACACAAACTCACAGAAAACCTGACTCAAAATCAACTTATTCTGTCAAAACACTAGCACAACATTTTCTTTCCAAGAGGAACAGATCAATCATAGCACAACCACTTACAAACAGTTTATGGCATTACAAAGCTGCATTACTTTTCATGTTTCAGATCTACCTGTACACAGTAGACAATTTGAAAAAAGGTCATCAAACTATGTAAAAGTGAATCAGTCATACTTTATAGAATGTACAGTAGAATAAACATGCAATTCACAGAATTACAGAAGTAAAAACTTTATTAACAATTTGTAATTGCAGCCAGTGATCAACAAATGACCCAACCTATGTGGCTTTTGGTTCAAAATGTGTTAAAATACTTTCAAATACGTTTACATTCCTTCTCGGCCACTGTGCTACAAACAAACACTGTCTGGCTCTGCCATCCCTACACACAAAGCAATCTCAGTCCAGGCTGTTCTACCACATGCCATCAGATAAGGGGTGTCCTCCTTTAACTTCAAGAAGCTCTTGAAAACTCAACTCTTCTGAGAACACCTCCTCTTATAACATCAGTAACCACTAACCTCTACATGCACTTCCTGTGCTGTTCTTCTATCTCCTTACAATTCCCCTGTATTGATTTCAATATTTGTTAACTCTTACTTATTTCCCTTGGTATTTACCCTATTGATGCTGTACATGCTAATAGCTCTTAGTAGTATTTATTGTCACTTGTGGATCTCTTAATGTATTGATGCTTTATTGATGCTTGTCTGTTGTTCCTCAAGTCACTTTGGATAAAAGTGTCAGCAAAATGAGTAAATGTAAATACACAATTACATTGAAACAAAAAAGTACTGTCCTGTTCTAATCCATATGATCTTAAGCATTTGGCCACATGTTCTCATCCACATCACATCGTCATCTCTAGCTCTGCACCTGGATAGAAACACTACTCCTCCCTGGCCCCTAACTATTCTTCTCCCTTGTTCGTACATTATTCTTTCTTTCTCTCTGTTGTTCTGTGTTTGGTTGTGGTTGATCTATTTTACCCAAATTACAATACAACAGCTATTTCACAATGTTTCAATGATATGTTTATTCAGAAATGCTTAGCAGCTGTTTCAATCACAAATCCATTGTTTTGGTATTGGGTAAGCTAGTAAGTAAAGAAAAACTTAGCAGACTGATATTGGGCTAACTGAGTTTAGAGTTTTGAAAATGTGACTACAGATTGGACAAAATGATGTTAGCGAGTGGGGAAAAAAACTGTAATTACATGAAGGATTAATGAGAAAAAATTGAAATGTTATAAAGGAAAAAACTATTATTATTACTACTATTAACAATCCAGAAGCTTCCCAAGTTGCAAGATGAAAATGCTATTCCCGGTTAAATACACATTAATGAAGTCAAACATCTTACCAGTAACTGCAGTAACGCTCACTCCACTGCTTCTGGCGTTCTTATACACAGAGAAGAGAATGAATGTGTATGTAGTTGCAGCAGTGAGAGATGAGACTGTGTAAGTTACTGGTCCATCTCCATCTGGTGCAGTGATGTCGATCTCTGCACTATTAAACTGGAGAATAAAGCTGATGTTGTTGTTCACTTTATTCCACTGCAGAGTGATACTGGTCTCATCTTGTGCTGTTGATATGAAGTTTTCTGCGTTTGGAGGAGCTGAGACAAAAAGAGCAGTGAAACACTGTCAGTAAAAGTGAAAATGTTCCCTCTGACATTTAAAGATGGTTCATTTTGTATCCCCACATAAACACAAACTAATGCTGTCTGTCAGGAACAGAGCAAGTGAAACAATTCTTTGTATTATTAAGAATGTTTTTTTTCTGGATCCAGATGTCACATTCTGTAGTCATATCCATCACACTTTATATCACAACCGAGATGGACTCCATGATAAATGAAGACTCGCGACATAACAAATGTTCTAAAACATTAATTATTCTTAACGCAAAAATTATCTTACAGTGTTGGCCAAAACAATGCTGAGTTTGTTTACTATACAAAAAAGTGTATCTAGTTAAGTAGCACATACTATCATACCCAGTAACTGAAAAGCAAATGATGGTTAGCTAAGCAGATACAGAGCATAGAAATAAAGTGACATATATTACCGGTAACTGCAGTAATGTTTACTCCACTGCTTCTGACGTTCTCAAACACAGAGAAGAGAGTGAATGTGTATTCAGTTGCAGCAGTGAGAGATGAGACTGTGTGAGTTACTCGTCTAATTCCATCTGGTACAAAAATGTTGATCTCTGCATCATTAAACTGGAGAATAAAGCTGATGCTGTTGTTCAGTTTATTCCACTGCAGAGTGATACTGGTGACATCTTGTCCTATTGATCTGAAGTCTTCTGTTTTTGGAGGAGCTGAGACAGAAGAAGAGATGTGATGTGAGAAATTGTTCATGCTCCTTTAAACACAATACCCAGTCTTTAAACTACATTCACAAAACCCCTGACTCTTCTGGCAAAATCAAACACTTGCCTCAAAACCACGTGATCTGTGCTCAAATCAAACAATGATTTCAGAACATAAACACAACCAGTCAATAGGTAAAATAATAATAAATAAAAATAATCTTTATTTGTAGAGCACTTTTCAAAAACAAGTTACAAAGTGCTTTAACAAGTGTAAAGACAATAATACACAAAAGACAATAATACAAAAACAATACAAGACTAAAATACACGTTTAAGATAAATATAAAACTAGTAAAATAGAATAAAATAAAAGGGATAAAATAAAGTCAAATAAGATCGGGAAAGCGTCTCCTATAAAAGTATTTTTTAAGAAGGGACTTAAAAGGAGTTACTAACGCATTATCTAAAGATATAGTTTCCCTGGATGGCATCGCCCTGGCCTCCAGCACCACTGTGAGGAATCTTGGAGTTATCTTTGATCAGGACATGTCGTTTAAGTCTCACATTAAGCAAATTTCAAGGACCGCCTTTTTTCACCTACGTAATATTGCGAAAATCAGGAACATCCTGTCTAAAAATGATGCAGAAAAACTAGTCCATGCATTTGTTACTTCTAGGCTGGATTACTGCAATTCCTTATTATCAGGCTGCTTGAAAAAGTCCATTAATACTCTTCAGCTGATCCAGAATGCTGCAGCACGTGTTCTGACAGGAACCAGGAAAAGAGATCATATTTCTCCTGTCTTAGCTTCTCTGCATTGGCTTCCTGTAAAATCCAGAATATATTTTAAAATCATTCTTCTTACCTACAAAGCTCTTAATGGTCAGGCACCATCTTATCTTAAAGAGCTCATAGTACCTTACTACCCCACCAGAGCACTGCGCTCCCAGAATGCAGGGTTACTTGTGGTTCCTAGAGTCTCCAAAAGTAGACTAGGAGCCAGAGCGTTCAGCTATCAAGCTCCTCTCCTGTGGAACCAGGTTCCAGTTTGGGTTCAGGAGGCAGACACCATCTCCACATTTAAGAGTAGGCTTAAGACTTTCCTCTTTGATAAAGCTTATAGTTAGGGCTGGCTCAGGTAGTCCTGAACCATCCCTTAGTTATGCTGCTATAGGCCTAGACTGCTGGGGGATTTCCTATGATGCACTGAGCTCCTCTCTCCTCTACTTTCTCTCCCTCTGTATTCAACCTCATCCCATTATTGCATGTTACTAACACAACTTCTCCCCTTTCTGGTAGACTTGTGCTTTCTCGTCCCTCTCCTCTCTCCTCCTATCACTTCCTGCAGGTTTTCTGGCTCTGGTTCTCTGCTCGACACCCTCTGCTAGTCTTATTGTTATTATTGTTATTATAATCATTAACATTACGATTGTTACCATTAACACTACTATAAATATCTGTACCATTTTTTTATTTAGTCTATAGCAACATCACCTTTGCTGTCTGTACCTCTGTGTGTGTATATTGTGTAGGCTGCCTCCCTCCCCTCTCTCTCTCCATCCATCCCTCTCTTTTTCTCTCTGTTCCTCTGCTCTCTCTCTCCCTCCCTCTCTCTCTCTCTCTTCACCCCAACCGGTCGAGGCAGATGGCCGCCCACCCTGAGCCATGGTTCTGCTCGAGGTTTCTGCCTCTTAAAAGGAAGTTTTTCCTTGCCTCTGTCGCATAGTGCTTGCTCTTGGTGGGAACTGTTGGGCTTCTGTAAATACCATCATAGAGTACGGTCTAGACCTGCTCTTTTATGAAAAGCGCTGTGAGATAACTGTTGTTGTGATTTGGCGCTATATAAATAAAATTAAATTGAATTGAATTGAAATTGAATTGAAAAGAGTTCACTGACTCAGCCGAGCTGATTTCCTCGGGCAGGCTGTTCCAGAGCCTCGGGGCCCTGACAGCAAACGCTCTGTCCCCTTTAGTTTTCAGTCGAGACTCTGGAACAGACAACAGAGGTGTGTATGGGACTAAAAGTTCAGAAGTATAACAAGGCGAGAGGCCATGAAGAGCTTTAAAAGTAATCAATAGAATTTTAAAGTCAATTCTAAAACATACTGGGAGCCAGTGTAATGAAGCTAAAACAGGAGTAATGTGGTCATATTTCTTTGTTCTGGTTAAAAGCCTGGCAGCTGAGTTCTGGACAGTCTGGAGTCGATCAATAGATTTTTGGGTTAAACAGGTGAAAAGGCTGTTGCAATAATCCAGGCGTGATGAGATGAAGGCGTGTAAAATGGTCTCAGTGTCCTTAAAAGTTAACATAGATCAAATTTTTGCTATATTTCTAAGTTGATAAAAACATGATTGAACAAGCTTTGTGGTGTGCTGCTCGACATTTAAATTACTATCAAACCAAACACCAAGGTTCTTTGCCACAGGCTTAATGTGATTTACTAGGGAACTAGCAGATGGCAGTATTTGTTTTGCCATCTGCTGGGACCCAATGACCAGGATTTCTGTTTTGTCTGAGTTCAGCTGGAGGAAATTATTTGACATCCATTTTTTAACTTCACAAAGGCAGTTGTTAAGTGAACTCAGCATTCCAGGGTCTGTGGATCTAACGGGCAAGTATATTTGTGTGTCATCAGCATAAATATGAAAAGAAAGTCCATGTTTATGGATAATATGTCCAAGGGGATGCAGATGCAAGGAAAACAAAATGGGTCCTAAGACCGACCCCTGAGGCACACCATATTTAACTGGACAGAACGAAGAGACATAGTTATTTACAGACACACAAAACTTTCCTATTCTATATTCATATCTCCTCCGTATACACAGAATCATAATTAAAACCATTCAGCAGCCAACAACATTCCTCAAAATACAAAGCTGCCGGCCTTCTCCACGAAGGATTCTACAAGGACCTATTTCAGTACCATGTGGAAAACGCGCGGCCCTCACCCACCATCTTACAATGTTTCAAATGTCAGCATCAGCAATAACACTGTTGTTTGCTTGAGCACAAAACCTGCAACAAAGACAAATGCAAAGCCAAATGAGCCAACTGTGCAGGCGAACACTCTGCCACTTCCAAGACTTGTCCAGTCTATCTGTACATACATGACTTCCTCTGCCAAAGTAACTACCTCCAGGAAAACCACCAATCCCACCTTCCATCTTGTCCATCTGCGAGGGGACCTCAAAAAACTGGCCATGGTCGACATAAAAATATATGAAGTCATCAAAAGTTTCAGAAAACACACACATTACAGTTCATGTACATTATCCTCCCACCACCAAGAACGCCACACCTGTTTCCATAATCTTCACCATGACACTTACACCTTATATATAAGAGGTAATAAAGAAGAGCTAATCCAAATGTTAAAAAACAGGAACATCTCTGTAGCTTCCACACACGAAACACTTTTAAATACAGTAACAAATCACGGATCAATATTCCTGGATACAATATCATCAGAAAAGAGTGCCAGACAGGACAGGAAGAGGAATAATGTTCTTTCTGATTAAGATGACTGACTATAATGAAATAGATTATGGACTTATATTACAAGACCTCAATGGTTCATCAATTAATATGTTGCAAAAAAATGAAAACCCACCTACATCACTCCATGACAGTCATCAGCATCTACTGTACTGTCCCCCTGGAATAAAACCCTCTGCAAACCTGCTACCAAGCTACCATACCATACCGTCATCATGGGAGATTTCAATGCAAAACATGTTGACTTCTATTGTAAAAAAAAACAAACACAAGAGGCACACAAACTGGAAATACAGACATACTGGACCGCATTATATGCTCCTCTGACCTGGCTTCTAAACTCCACAAGTTCACTACAACATGACCTTGACAAAACACATCAATAACCTGGAACAAAAAGCAAACAACAGATTGAACCACTCTGTCAAAACCATGTATTAACTTTTCTCTATTCTTTTATCTCTTTTTATTATTCTTATATAACTTGCATTGTTTAGTCCATATTTATATATTTCTAGATTTATTGATTTCAACTGTATGTTTGTCTACATGTAGCACCTTATCACCAAAGCATAGCATACATTTGTGACCAATTTACAGTTTAAATCAAGTCTGTAGCTGAAAGTATGCTGAGCTGGTAAGCTTTCAAAGTGGAGTAGTATGAGGAGGATTTTGATAGTCTCTCCATTCACTTAGAATGGGAAAATTTCCTGGAATAATAACCCTAACCTGGAATGTTTTGAAAAGTATTCAAGGTATCAATAACAAAAGAAATAGCATCTGATTCCTCATTGAG